CCTGTGTCATCCTCAGAGTCATTGCTATATTTGAGCCCATTGTTGCAGCCACTATGTCAATTCATCTTGTTGAGGGTCTTCCTCTTTTTCACCTACCCTCTACTTTACCGAGCATGATGTCTTTCTCCAGAGACTTGTCCTTCCTGATAACGTGTCCAAATTATGTGAGACGAGGTCTCACCATCTTCACTTCTAAGGAGCATTCTGGTTGTACATCTTCCAAGACAGATTTGTTTGTTCTTTTGGCAGTCTATGGTATATTCCATATTCTTTGCCAACACGATAATTCAAAGGAATCAATTCTTCTCTGATCCTCTTTATTCATTGTCCAGCTTTCACGTGCACATAAGGCAATTGAAAATATCATGGCTTGGGTCAGGCGCACCTTAGTCCTCAAGGTGACATCTTTGCTTTTTAACTCTTTCAAGAGTTCTTTTGCAGCAGATTTGCCCAACGCAATACGTAGTTTGCTTTCTTGACTGCTACTTCAATGAGTTTTGATTGTGGATCCAAGTAAAATGAACTCCTTGACAACTTCACTCTTTTCTCCGTTTGTCATGATGCTGCTTTTTGGTCCAGTTGTAAGGATTTTTGTTTTCTTTATGTTGAGATGTAATCCATACTGAAGGCTATAGTCTTTAATCTTCATCAGTCAGTGCTTCAAGTCCTCTTCACTTTCAGCAAGCAAGGTTGTATTATCTGCATATCACAGGTTGTTAATGAGTCTTCCTCCAATCCTGATGCCACATTCTTCTTTATATAGTTCAGCTTCTCAGATTATTTGCTCAGCATACAGATTGAATGAGCATGGTGAAAGGATACAACCCTGATGCACACCTTTCCTGATTGTAAGCCATACAGTATCTCCTTGTTTTGTTTGAATGACTGCTTCTTGGTTTATGTACAGGTTCCACATGAGCACAATGAAGTGTTCTGGAATTCTCATTCTTCATAATGTTATCTATAATTTGTTATGATCCACACATTCGAATGCCTTTGCATAGTAAATAAAACACAGGTAAACATCTTTCTGGTATTCTCCGCTTTCAGCCAAGATCCATCAGATATCCATAATGATATCCTTTTAACAACAGGTTAAACTAAAAGCTTAAGAGGAAAAGATGGGGAATGAGCTATCCAGAGAGAATTTTTAAAAGTTCCAATGTATTCCTGGGAATATAGAACTCATGTGCCTGTTCAGCAATGTGAGCACACTCAGGAAAGACCTGAGAAGGTCTAAGTTCTCACCTCTGGTTCTGCACCAGCAGGAAGTAAAGTCCAAGACAGAGTTGTAACTATTTGGCTGAGTGTTGAAGGTGAGCCCCAACATGCACCCAGAGCCTCTCGGGAAAAACCGAAAGTTTTTTTGGTTCCAGGTTGTTGTGGGTTGTGTCATGTCCCTAAAAATATAGGTTGAAGTCCTAAGCTCCAGTACACATGAATGTGACTCTATGTAGAAATACCAAACCCGTTGTTGTCAAGTTGATTCTGACTCATAGCAATCCTATAGGACAGAGTAGAACTGCCCCATAGGGTTTCCAAGGAGCACCTGGTGGATTCGAACTGCCAACCTTTTGGTTAGCAGCCATAGCACTTAACCATTGTGCCACCAGGGTTATATGGAAATGGGGTCTTTGCAAATGTAATTAGTTAAGATGAGGTTATACAGGATGGGGTGAGCCCTAAATACAATGACACATGTCCTTACAAGAAGACCATGTGAAGACATAGAGAGACATTTAGCCTCCAGAACTGTGAGATAGTAAATTTCTGTTGTTTTATGATATCCACTTTGTGGTAATTTTTTACAGCAGCCTAAGGAAACTAGTACACAAGTGTTTAAGAAAATCTCTGTTCAATCATTAGATGACCTCTAAGCTAACCAAGCAGACTTTGGTGGCCACACAAGACAAAGAATACAGACTTCACAAAATTATTTCCCAAAAGTCACCAAACATTAAACAAACAACCCTGGAGAGGGAGAGAATCTGATTTCCAGAGTTGCTGCATTATATATTTTTAAATTTCTAGCGCTCAACAAAAAATGACAAGACATGCAAACAAACAAGTATGGCCCATATACATGGTAAAAAGCAATCAACAGAAACTGTTCCTGAGGAATCTCAGACATTGGACTTATTGGACAAACACTTACTAGATAAAGACTTACTAGACAAAGACTATTTTAAATATGCTTAAAGGACTAAAGGAAACCACATCTAAAGAACTAAAAGAAAGTATGAGAATGACATCATCAGATAGAGAATATCAATAAAGAGATAGAAATTATAAAAAAAGAACAAAAGAGAAATTCTGGAATTGAAAAGTACAGTAAATAAAATAAGAAATTCACTACAGGATCTCAACAGCAGATTGATCAGGCAGAAGAAAGGATCAGTGAATTTACAGATAAATTGATAGAGATTATCCAGTCTGAGGAGTAGAAAGAAAAAAGAATAATGAAAAATAAACAGATTCTAAGAGACCTGTGAGACACCATCTTCCGCATAATGGCAGTCTCGAAAGGAGAGAGAGAAAGGGAAAGAAAGAATATTTGATGAAATAGTGGTTGAAAATTTTTCCAAATTTAATGAAAGATATTAATCTATACATTCAAGAAGCTCAATGAACTCCAAGTAGAATAAACTGAAAGAGATACACACCTAGACACATCATAACCAAACTGTCAAAGGACAAAGAGAGAATCTTGAAAGCAAAAAGAAGTGATTCATCACATACAAGAGATCGTCAATAAAATTAATAGGTGATTTCTCATAAGAAACCATGAAGGTCATAAGGCAATGGTATGACATATTCAAAGTACTAGGGGGAAAAAGACTGTCAACCAAGAATTCTATATCCAGCACAACTCTCCTTCAAAATGAAGGAGAAATTAAGATATTCCAGATAAATAGAATGGGGTGGACAAGTTAGAGCTTGATTAACAGTGTAACCTACCTCAATCAGTGTTACTCTGCATGCAATGTAAACTGTGCAAAAGTATGCTCTCAGTATGCACAGTTGGATGAGGCCTTCTATCTCAACCTAAAAAGGAATGGAAGCACTCCTGAGGATGATACCTGAATGGGTTACGTAGTCCTGCGGGATGCCCAAAATGAACTAAAGGCAAATTATTTAATTTAGTCAGTCTTTTCTAGTGATAAACAAATTGTTATGAACTTTTATTTAAAGCACTTATTTCCAAGGAAATAAAATATCATTTTATTTTATTTTATACTACCAAGAACTGGTATCTTGATTGTTTGCTGCCAAATCCAACTAAACACTTGCATTTATCTCTGTCCCTCCTTACTCAAATAAAAAAGTATTACCCTCCCCCCCTTCACCTCACACACACACGTACACACAAAGAGCCCAGAGAGGAGACAACAGACACCAAGAGAGGATAACATATGTTTGGAAGATGTGAAGTAGTTCAGAGGAACAGTACCTGACTCAGTAGAGTGAAGAAAGCAGAAATTTAAGTGCTTGGATAGGAGTTGTCAATGTGAAGCAGGCTGATCTGTTCCACAGAACCCAAGAAAAGCCCAGGAATTCCAGACATCAGGCACCTGCAAGGTGAGGGGGTGGAGGGAGCTGGGCTTAAAGTTATCATCCTAGGTCCCTACCCCACTCCAACCCCAGCAGGCAGGAAATTACCCTTCTCCTTTTCCTAGAGGAAACAGGGGGGTTATTTTCTTAGAAGACTGCACCAACAATCTGGACTCAGGAGCCCCAGGCACTGTGAGGGCTGGGGTCTCTACCGAAAACAGGAATTAAGTGAACTTCTACACACCAAACGATGGGATTTCTTCTCCTACTCAGCTTCCAGAACGCTGGCAACCAGCTTATACCTCAAGTAGGAGACTAAGGAGTCATTTATGAAAAACTGAAAGGTCCTAGAGAAAGACCTACAGCTAGGAACATTTGTGGGTTATTCAAAGGAAAAGCTGGGTCCTCATCCCCTCAATCCACAGTGAAATCCACCTGGAGATAATCCTCACTTGTATTAGTTTCTTGTGGCTGCTTAGAACAATGGAAATTCATTTTCTCACAGTTCTGAGGCCAAAAGTTCAAAATCAGTTTTTCTGGGCTGAAATCATGGTGTCAGCAGGGCTGTGCTCCCTCTGTAGGCTCTAGGGAAGAATCAGTTCTTTGTCTCATCCGGCTTCTGGTGGCTACCAGCATTTCTTGGCTTGTGGCTACATCACTCCAATTTCTGCCTCTGTGGTTACATTGCCTTCTCCTCATTTTTGTGGGTGAGATCTCCCTCTGCCTCCTCCTTATAAGGACACTTGTGAGTGCATTTAGGACTCACCCTGATAATCCAGGGTCATCTCTCCATCTCAAAATCCTTAACCATATCTGCAAAGTCTTTGCCATGTAAAGTAACATTCATAGGTTCTAGTGATTCAGACATGGACATATCTTTGAGAGCCTTCAGCAGTAAACAGAGAGCTTTCAATCAGCCTTTTAGTTCCTCCCACTTAAAGGTTAGTGAGATCATTTTTTTCACATTTATTGGATATCTGAGTTTCTTGTTTTGTGAATTATTTTTCTATTTATATTTTTCCTACAGATTTTTATGCTTTTCCTAATTTGCACTTACTTGCCTATTACCTTTGTTTACAGTCTGTTTTCTGACATACAAAAAATTTTTAAATGTTATGTATTCAAATCTAACACTTTTTTCTTTGCAATTATGCTCAGAAAGTCCACCTTAGATATATGTTCATATATTTTCTCCTGGATTTATAGTTTCAAAAGTACTTCATTCTTTATCAATATGGAATTTATTTTAATATGTGGTATGAAGTAAGAATCTAACTTGATTTTTCCAAGTTATGTAATCAACTGTTCCAGCACAAAATATGCCTTCCTCTCCCCACTGGCTGGCCACATCATCTTTATCAAATATAAAAATCTTATATATTCTAGGGTCTGCTTTTGAGCTCTGTTCAGTTATCTCAATTCTTCTTTTAGATGTTTGCTATATGATCTTTTTTTTTTTTTTTTGGCTGAGTTTCCAATTACAAATAAATAACTATAAGCCCATCGAACCACCTTAAACTGTTAATTGTATATTTTCTCATTCTTTCAAATGGTTTTATATGATTATTCATTTCTTTTTGACATCCTACTGGTTAGTTACTCACCTAAAAGAGTTCATGTTTATCGTAACTCATGTATATGTATTTGGAAATTTTTAGAAACAGAAAAACATTTTCACATTTTTGAAGGGAAAGAAATCAGAGATACTCTTCCTTTTTGTTGCTAATATAATAATTGGTTAAATATATCTGATGTTTTTAATTAATTAGACAAATACTATGTCCTAGTCGCTTTTTTGGGTGCTAGGTGTATAAGGCGAAACAAAAATCCCTGCGTTTAGGAATTGTACATTCTGATGGGGGAGACAGATAAAAACAGAATAAGTACTTTTTTAAATGTAATTTATGAGACAGTGATGAATGCTATGGAGAAAAAAAGAAACCAGGGAAGGAGGACAGGAAATTTTGAATAGATGGCTAGGGAAGACCTCACCAAAAAGGCGATGTTTGACTCAAGACCTGAAGAGAATGAAGGAGCAGACATTATCTTCTTTAACTTACCAGATCGAGGTTACTTGCATTGAAATCCCTAGCATGTCTTCAGGTAGACTTTAAATCAAGTGCATTAATCATTCATTGTTTATCTACTATGATGAGCAAAATCTTGATATATCAAAAAGAACCACTACACATTTTAAACATCAAATGCATCATGAGATAATTGTTTATAATATACTTACAGGAATGAAACAGCCTGTTGGGAATCTTGGAACTGTAGAACGAAATACGAAGCCCCTACATTAAAAAAGAGAGAGGAAGAAAAAGATATGACTTTCTACATCTATTTTTTAAAGTGAGGCTCTTCGTTAACATTATTCCCTATCTTTCACTAAATACTCAGAAATGCTAATCTGGATATGATGGGCATAAATAAGGTTTAAAAGACATTGGTATTGGTTGTTAGGCATGTAAGTAGAAAGGCATGCACACAGTTACTAAAAGTAACTTAACTAATAAGTATATGATTACCTGGAAGAGTACTTGGGAACCGGTGCAGGAAGAATATCGTATTGTCCTGGTGAAAGCTGAACTGTCTACACACAATGGACAAGGACACCAAAAACAGATTAATACAGGTCTTAAGGTCTCTTTATTTTATTATCTGTTATTCATAATCCTTTTTTAATGACAATGTTGTTGTTGTTAGGCGCCATTGAGTCAACTCCAGCTCATGCCGATCCCATGTGACAGAGTAGAACTGCCCCATAGTGTTTTCTTGGCTGTAATCTTTATGGGAGCAGATCACCAGGTCTTGCTCCCTCGGAGTTGCTGAATGGGTTCAAACCACTGACCTTTCAGTTAGCAGCCAAGCGCTCAACTATTGCACTACCAGGGCTCCTTTTTATGACCATACAACATTATATAATTTATTCTCTATTTTAATAGTGGGAAAGGTACCTTTTCAAAGGTGGAGCTTCAAAACATTCAACACATATTCACTTTTCATGATGAATTTTATCACTGTATGCCTGAGATGCTGCATAGAAGACTGCTGTAAAGGTACCATATTCACCAAATCCATTTGATCGCCAGCCTGCTCTATGGGTAAAGCATTGTGCCCGTGGGGTGGAGAATACAATGGTAAGAAAGATATGGCCCTTGACTGGCAGGAGTGAAAAGTTCCCTACATAGACAATTCTAACATAAAACACCGTCATCAGTGCTAGGAGAGAGATTGGAAATTTTGGGGAAAGATTAAATCCAACTGAGTGATCTAAAGACAGTAAAGATGATGAGATTTGAGCTGGGCTTTAAGGAAGGTGGAGCCCTGGTGGTGCCGTAGTTAAGAGCTCCACTTTTAACCAAAAGGTCAGCCATTCAAATCCACCAGCCACTCCTTGGAAACCCTGTAGGGCAGTTCTACTCAGAATTGACTTGATGGCAATGGGTTTGGTTTGGTTTTGGTTTTCAGGAAGGCAGGGCTTCCTTGAAGGGAGCAACTGGGGGGTATTTAAAGAAGAAAGAGCCTTCCATAAGACGGTCTCTCTGCTAATTGCTCAGCTCGCTGCTAGACACCTGGGTGGCTCCATTGTCCCTGGGTCTGTGGATACTAGCCCTGAGATAGGAGAAGTAAGTGGAGAGAGAGAGATGTGCAGAGAATGAAAGAAGGAAGGAGAATGAGAAGTGGAGAGAAGACTGGCCAGACCTCCAGAACTTCCTATGTTGAAGGAGCTAGCAGGAAGAAGCTATGTTATTACAGAAGATCCTAGGAAGTATCCTTCCCAAGGTAAACAACCTATTATCTTTAAATTAGATTTTTAAGTACTATACTGCCATTGTTGAAAATGAGGCATCCGTATCCTGGCATAATTGCCACATGGAAGTTCAGCTGTTATATTTCACCCTGCAGCTGTGTTTCACATATAAATGCACAACTTTGATTGCAGAGGCAGCTTTTTGTGGATACAGTGATGGTAACAGTAAACACATTTTATGACGAAATACACACATTGTCCTGGTGCACCTGCGCCGTTATTTGCTCACTTGACATAGTAAACACTACAGAAACACTGGTATTATTGTATCATACCACAGGAGCATACAAACTTGTATTTCAAGCAGGGGGCTGTCTAGGGGGCCAGCAGCTTTCTATTTTTTTACTTTGATGATGGTTACATACAGGTGCTTGCCTTCTATTGACTTTAAACTGTACATATATGCTTTATGCTCCTTTCCTTTCTATCTGTCTGTCTTTCTGTCTCTCTGCCTTTCTGTCTGTCTGTTCATCTGTCTGTCTGTCCATCCATCCATCTCTCTCTCTCTCTATCTACCTATCTATTTATCTACCTACCTGTCTGTCTGTCTGTCCATCCATCCATCTCTCTCTATCTACCTGTCTATCTATTTATCTACCTACCTGTCTGTCTGTCTGTCCATCCATCCATCTCTCTCTACCTGTCTATCTATTTATCTACCTACCTGTCTGTCTGTCTATCTATCTATCTACCTACCTACCTATCTATCCATCCATCTATCTCACTCACACATGGACACAAACAAGAGGAGAAAGAAGAACTGGGGGAGGGGGAAACATCCTTAAAGCAGTTGTTTCTTCATCTCTGCTTAGCAATCCACATTAGACTTCTGTAATGAGGTGCTCACGGAAAAACTCTTAGACAGCATTAGTCTGGAAAGGAATATTGGTTACTATAGCATCTATATTTGTCCTACTTCACTTGGCATTGGCCATTCTTTGCTATTTAATATAGCTGAAAGGGCTAACTTTTTTCCATAAAGTCTTCAATAGTCAGCTGCCTTACATAAGAGACGGTCGCTCTGTGCATCGCTGAACTGGTTGCTAACTATCTGGGTGGCTCCATTGTCCTTGGGTCTGTGGCTAATATATAACTATTCGATTTCTTTTCTATTTCCCACATATGCTTCTCAGTTCTTCAGAGACTCAGAGAATCTAGACAATGTGCCCAGAAAAATACCAGATTCTAGTTGTAGATGTTTCAATCCATGTTGAATAGGCAGTCAGACATCTTGCGATAGCTTGGAGTCATAAAAAATGGCAGGATGATATCAGTGTGGGTACTTAATTCAGCTATGTTGCACCAACACCATCAGTGTCAGAAAACTGGGATATGAAAAAGTCACCCTTATTTATTGGGATCTTCTGTGTTGCTGTAACAACATTTTGAGAATCCAGACCATAAACGTTGTTGTTAGTTGCCTTCAGGTCAATTCCAACTCATAGGGACCCACAGCATTCCTCATCAGCCCCTTCTCAGACACAAGGCTCTTCCTTTTCTGCTGATACCTTGCTCAGTAGAAAGTCAACCTGCTATTATCTTGCCATGAGCACTCTGCAAATTAACATGTCTTCCAAGATACCATCACAGCTATACACACAGCTAACGAAGGTCAATGAACGGGCCAGATTTTTAACGTCTGTGCTTCCATTCAACCTCAGTCTGTCAATCAGCTGTTCAAGAATGTCTTTTGAACACATTAAAATGGATCCTTTGATTCATTCCCTGATTAATGGAATAAAGAAGACCAAGGAAGAATCGATACCTTTGAATTGTGGTGTTGGCAAAGAATATTGAGTATACAATGGACTGCCAAAAGAATAAACAAATCTGTCTCAGAAGAAGTACAATCAGAATGCTCCTTAGAAGCAAGGATGGCGAGATTACGTCTCAAGTACTTTGGACTTGTTATCAGGAGGGATCAGTCCCTGGAGAAGGACATCATGCTTAGTAAAGCAGAGGATCAGCGAAAAAGAGGAAGACCCTCAATGAGATGGATCGACCCAGTAGCTGCAACAATGGGCTCAAGCATAGCAATTGTGAGGATGGTGCAAGACCGGACAGTGTTTCGTTCTGTTGTGCATAGTGTTGCTGTGAGTTGGAACCGACTCGATGGCACCTAACAACAAGAACAATTTAACGGGGGCACCCTTTCCAATCTGGCTACCTCCTTTTGTCCTAAAACAGACATGGGAGAGTGGAGGCAGAATCACTACATTGGTTTCCTTTTACATGAGCTTCTTCTTCCAAGCAATGCTAAAGCTAACTTGGACAGAAGCTTCTAGTAATTTTAAATTTTACTTGTTTAATGATAATTTTCATTGCAGTCTTCCCAACCTAGGAAGTAAATAATTTTTTAAATGGAAAATGTAAAGAAATAAAACTATTAAAAGAAAAATGTTAGTTGGAAAAAGAATTGATTTCTTTACAAAGGAGCATGATAGGAAAAGAATATTACTTGCACATTAAAAACAATTCAAAATCTATAGAAAGATTTTTTAAAAATTCATGTAATTCTGTCTCTACCTTACCCTTAGTCCTTTCCCAATGGAAACCACTGTTAATGATTGCTTAAGTATCTTTCAAGAAAAAAAAGTATGTATTTAACATTATATATAGGTATATTTGTTTTCATTTATGCAAATGGAACTATGCTATAAATATTGGTCTATTTTTCATTTACTAATATATTGAGGAGATGCTTCCATATGAACACATAAAGATTTACCTCATTATTTTTGCACAGTATGTCATTTTACGGATATACCATTATTTAACTAGTCCTCTAGTTAAATACAAAAATAAACAATGCTGTAGTATTACACAAATATCTCTCTGCACTTTTTAAAGACCATTCACGGGGTAAATTCCTGACAGTGGAATTGATGGGTTTAAGGCTATGTGCATTTAAAACATTGCTAGGAATTGCCAGATTGCCCTCTAAAATGTTTGCATCAATTTGTAACCATACAAACTCCCCCCCCGCCCCCAAACAAAACAAACCCGTTGTCATTGAGTCGATTTCAACTCATAGTAACCCTATAGGACAGAGTAAAACTGCCCCATAGGGCTTCCAAGGAGCAGTTGGTGAATTCAAACTGCCAACCTTTTGGTTAGCAACCAAGCTCTTAACCGTTATGCCACCAGGGCTCCAACCACACAAACAGTGGCTGACAATATCTGTTTCTGTATCCCCTTTGCCAGTAATGAGTATCATCAAAATTAAATTGTTGATCATCTGTTAGATCAAAAATTATATCTCACTGGTTTATTTTTCCTTTTGTAATTATTAAAGCCAGGCATCACTTTGTTTTTTAGTTAGTCACGTCCCTTTTGTGAATTGTTAGTTCGTGTGTTTTGCTCATTTTTAAAGCTAGAATATATATTTTAGTTCTGTAAGAGAATATGACCCATTTTACACTTTGATGCAAGAGTGTTGAAGCCAGACAGTTGGTGGTCAGAGTTTTCTTGAAACTCCTTTACATCTTCACAGTGGTAGCACTCTGCCTACTTTCAGATTAAATGACTTTGCTCACTTTGATTCACTGTTGACGGCCTGGGGCTCTATCACCGTCTTCTCCCTGTCTGTTCAATGTAGGGAGACTGAGGAATCATGTTCTGTCTGGCACAGACTTAGCTGAGTTCAGGAGGCCCTGAAGTTCTCCTAGCATGTTGATTTTAAGCTTATACTTTAAACCTCCCTTTTAAATCACTTGGTCCATGTTCCAGTTGAAAATATGAGTAGGGCATTTTAAAATGGTACCAGACTTATACTCTGC